ATGATTTTTACTTTGATAATGCAATTACTTTTGCTTTTAAATTTGATTTCTGCTTCTTTTTACTTTCAATCGTTCTTTTCCCTTTGTTTTACAGTAACGTTCCATTTTCCTTTCAGTTTTGATTTATTTTTTCTTTTATTTTTTATTCAATCTTAAAAAAACTGTAAAATTTTGGGTGACAGCCCTCGGCCACCATAGTATAACTGCAGTCTACAGTCTGCATTTTGTACTGACCAGATTGGTATTACTGCTTTTGTCCGAGCGAGCCTCAAGGTCCCTCAAGTCCGGAGCGAAATATTAGAGCTCGAAAAAAAAAAAATTAAGTGAGACTATCTTGGCCGCTATGATTGCTGTGTGGACTGTATGTTGAAGAGCTCCCGAGGAAAAGCACAATGATATAGCAATGATTACTTTGTACCAACTGAAGAAGAACTCAAATGCGCGGCTCACCAATATGGCTGCCTCTGATGCTCTTCCGCGTGGTCACAGCGTGTGTTGAAATGAACCCGCTAAGGGTCCACTAGGTGTGAACATTTCGGCTTCCCGATTCAAGTTGCATCTTTAGAAGTTCGGAAATGTGAGTTGAGGTTATTATTTTGCATTAAACCAAAGAAACATTTCATTTCTTTCCACGTGAGTTTCTAAGCTTCATCGAAATTAATTTTGACTTTCACTAAGTGGGGGAGGGGTAGAATGCGCGACTACTTCCGTTCACGGCCCACAATGCGACTTCCGTCTACGGAATACAACTTCCGTCAGCATCTGCTTCACCACAATGCCTCATTCACTAATCAGTCTCGCCCAGGAGTAAGTAGGTCATCTCCGAGGTTACTCGTTTTCAGAACGAGGGTTATGAATATTTGATCATTTCTTCTTCAAGGACAAAATAATGAAGCCAGACGTGTACAGTATAATTTTGTTTGTGCCACCTCTTCTCGTTACTTACATTCCCATCCTCGTCTTTTCGGTGATGAAGGTGTTTTACAGAAGAAGATTTGATCAAATCAGTCGCTGGGTTGCCACAAATGCATTTTCCAATATATTAAAGGAGAAGAAGAAGAAGACTTGTTGTCCTCGAGAAGCGATGTGGCTGTTTAAAGACATTGATCTAACAGCAGAGGAGGAATTATTATCCATGGTCCTAACCAGATTTTTGATGCTGTTTTCTTTTATGTTTGGCGCTGTGCTGACAGTTTTTTGGCTGCTCCTTGTGCTGGATGTAAGTTACGACTGCGATGAAGATGACCTCTCGAAAGACTGCTTCGTAAACAAATGGACTTCGGAGCCGCAAGACCCCCTAAACTGTAGCAGTGCTGCCGTTCAAACCTTGATTCAAAATGGAACCATACAGGTCGCCTGCTACAAAATCGTCTTCAATTTTGGATTGGCCAGTGGTGCAAGTTACGGCTCATTCAAGCTCTCTATGTTCGCCATTAAGGTTAGTGCAGGTGCAATCTTGAGGATTAAGACAACAAAGATGCTACGACTGGTGCAAATGTTTGGTGCATTACTGGTTCTCGGTGCTGTCATATCGCTCACAGTTGTTGACGCAGTCATTCCTTCGGTAGACATCTTGTTGAGAGATCAACAAGTTGCTTTAGTTCGGATAACAACAACAACACTCACTGCTTTTTACTTCCTATTCTTTATTCCCTGGCGTAGGCTCATTGACTTGAAAACCCAGAGAGAAAACCCGTTAGAAACTGTCATAGGAAACTGTGCTTAGACATCTGTATAGACACCACTTAAGTAGAGACTGGAAATTCTAGAAAAGTTTCGAGTAATTACCTGAACCAATTGATGAAACAATGCTTTAGAGACTGACAGAAAATAGCCTTGTGAAGACTGTTCTAGCGGTGGGTTTTTGTGGTGAGAGTAGTACCCTTGCCAGACAGCTAGTGTTAAACGAGAACGGCAAAATTAAACTCATATCTATTTACCATTCATGAATCAACCACAATGGCAGTCTAACTAGGGAATAGTTGATAAACTATTCAAGGAAGTTATACAGAGCGAACAGAACAAGCTCCATGACCTTTCTTCTGCTCGTAACACATGTATCTTGATCCTAAGAAACATATGGAAGTTTAGGCTCGTCTTCAAAAGCAGTCTAAATAGGGATTAGCTGATAAACTATTTAAGAAAGTTATACAGCGCGAACAGAACAAGCTCCATGACCTTGTTTCTGCTCGTTACACATGTACCTTGATCTTAAGAAACATATGGAAGTTTAGGTTCGCCTTCAAGACGAACAGACTTCGTAACAGGCTTATTACTTTTAATGCCCTTAAGGCCTTATCGATTTATTAGACTTTTATATTTCTTCGACATATTTCATTTATTAGCATAACATATTTTACATATATATGTTTATACAAACTTGTTTTAAACTATTGGTAGTCCTTTTTAAGAATCTTTTTGTGATAATCGTATAACTCAACTTTTGGTAGCAAAGCGGCTATCAATAAACTATCTATCTATCTCTCTATCGAGTCATTGCATCATAATTCCTATGCGTTATTCCTTGGAAAAAACTCATGGCGATGAACTCGGCGAGGAAACATCTAAATATTACGCCAGTAAATTACTCGCTGTGAAAATCTGCTTCAAAATCTGCAGACGCTTATCTGATGTTTAAATCTAAGGGAATATGAGAAATGGGCATATGAAACAGTTGTTCAGACAGCGCCTCCTATAACTTCACGCATTTATTTATCACAGTTTAGTATTAGAGCATGAAGCCATGAGGTTTCTTGTTTTCCCACACTAAGAACCATTTTTGTCTCACAGCTAGAAATAGTGCTGCGAGAAAATTAAACGTTCAGGAAATTAAGAAGACAATTTTCCAGAAATTGTTTATCTCCTTGTAAGAAAGCTTATTTAAGCACGTAATGCAGATTATTTTGACCTTCGTTTTCCGAGTTAACCAGGTATGCATGAAATTAGAACAGTGATGAAAATTGTCAACTTGTGCCCCTGAATGTCAAAAATTATAATTGTTGCGTCAACACCATGGCCATCGATGCAAAGTCTTGCTTTGCAGTGAGGACGTGTCATTTTAGGAAAGCGTACTCGACATCCGTCAGAAGGAGGTCATCTCGGGTAGATTTCTGATGACGAAATCCGAGCTCGCCCGATGTTGTCATGAAGGCCCTATTTCGCATTTTAGAGCCGCAAAATAGAGTAGAAAGGAACACTTACTTCGTTTCCGCTCATGACTTTGAACTAGCGTTAAGATATTTGCATTTTTTTCCGTTGCTAACCTATATGACAGATTCCACAAAATACATTTGACGCCTCCTTTTCACGGATGGCCGATCACAACTACAGCGTAATGACATCTTCACGAAATCTGTCAAAAGCAGGATTTTAAAACACCGGAAATCTTCTGGATTTCTGATGAAATAAATTTAACGCAGTTACGTTCAGAGTTTAAGCGATACATTGTTATTTTAAATATGGTAATTGATTAAAAAATTGTACATTACCTCGATTGGACGGAGACTAAGTTTGAATATAATGTAGCAGGCGATATTACTTTTGTCGACAAGGATAATCCGTGACTTGTCTAACCTATAACATTTTCTCTATCTGCGTTGTGCCATGATCATCATTGGAAATATTCTACGATAATATTTTTTATAATATTTAGATGAGGATTTCAATTCTAAACGCAAGAGCGTACTAAGGGAAAGATCTACAAGAAACAGTTTCTCATGAATACATTTTAAAAATTCTTTTAGCTGACTTCTACATAGATAAAAATTACTACATAGATATATTTCACTTCGAAGATTATCTTAATAAACAATTGACGGGAGGTTCTGAGAATCAGTTTTTTTCAGTTTTGACAGATTTCGTGGAGGTGTTACTATGTTGTAGTTGTAATCGGCCATCCGTGAAAAGGAGGTATCGCAGAAATTTTGTGAAGTCTGTAATAAAGGTAAGCAACGAAAAAAAAAAAGCAAATATCTTACGGCTGATACGAAGTCATGAGCGAAAACGAAGCACGTGTTCGTTCCTACTCTGTTTTGCGGGTTTAATATGCTAAATAGGGCCTTCATCACGAAGACAACATCGGGCGAGCTCGGATTTCGTAATCAGAAATCTACCCGAGAAGACCTCCTTCTGACGGATGTCGGAGTACGCTTTCCGTCATTTTAAGGGTATAACTAGTTATAGTTCCCACTAGAGCTGCCCCCGCCCTACAGTACCATTTCCTTTTGTTTTTTTTTTTGAGTTGGGCTTGTTGTTTACAGTTGTGTAATTTTTCTGTTAGGCTGTTACGGAATTGCGGCTCAGTACCTTGGTTTTAGTAATTTTGGATCTCAAAATACTACAAGTGTACAAGATGTAGTTTCGGGAAGTGCTTGGGGTTTTTTTTTTTTGCTCCGTGGTTTAATTTAGGATTTGTTTGTTCTTCACGATCAAGAAGAAGCAGAATGTAGGGACTTGGGTGAGTTTTAACATTGGAATGTTATAGGTGGCATTGGAGAACAATTTATAGACAGCATTGATGAACAATTTATTATTATATAGTTATTAGACACAAAATTATACCTTAAGAGGACAATTTTAAATAGAATTTGTTTGAAAGGCATTGAAAAATTGGTTTGTTGAATAGAACGTTCTATTATTATAAACTGTAAAAACGATAAGTGGATGAATTGTAACTGGAACCAACAATATATTTTTATGATAATTGATCTTTTTTGATTGATTTGAGCTTTTTGTCAATATAACTATTGTGATGTGGTATCAAAATGGAAAAAAATTAATGGAACTACATGTATGTACAACATATTTGGCTTATAAAAAGTGGATAAAAGAGAAAAGCATGAAATTTGAACAAAACTATATATACAATATATTTTTCAAAATCTATTTTAAGTGACGATTGTGTTTTTAACTCTGATATTAAGTAAAGTTGTATGAATAAAATTTCAAACTGGAACAACAGTGATATAAAAAATAAATAAAAATAAAGAATTTTTGTTTGAACTTTTGGAGTTATCCTTAAATGTCAAGATGGTACAGTGTCCAAATATGATGGTCACCAACATGAAACAATGTTTGCTTTTATTACTCATTTTTTGATTTTTCTTGCGTTGGTGGCTGCATTTGGTGATTTACTATCTCGCTGATAAATTTACCGTTTTTTGACAATGTGAAGTCAACATTTTCCAGCAACAGAAGTTTTTCTGTTAGTTCATCTATGTTGTTTCAGTATTGGAAAATGTCCTCGTTTAGGTAGACGCTGAGTGTGGCATGGTTTGCCACAACGTTGAATTGCTTCTCTTCCTTTTCCAGTTGAAAGGTTGTGCTCATGTCAACGTAACAGTTTTTAACGAGCATTGCTCTGTTGCAGGCTGTGCAACGAACTGTAACTTTAGATTCTGTGTTTCCTGTGATTATGCTCCTACATCCTTTGGTGTTGCATATTGCATTAGTGTCAATGATGACATTTTTTATTTCTGAGCAGCAGATTTGAGGCTTGATAGCAGTTGCATCTGTATTTACATTGGTAATATTTTGCTTCTTGGCTGGCTTTATGAGGGTTTCTGTAGTGGTACTGATTTTCAACCCATAGTAGTACTTTACAGGGCAGTTGGAGATCTCAAAGAAATCCCCTTCCTTGATCAGAGAAATGTGGTCTGACCAAATCGAAATATCTATAGTTCCTGTTGAGCCTACTAATTTACCATCTCTTACTGGTCGTTTAGAGTTTTGTGGTGTTGAAGCTTCACTGTCCCATCGAATTAAGCCTGAGATTGTGACCATATCCCCTTGCCTCTTAGTTTTTAAAACATCTGCTACAGATGTAAGGGATGGTGCTGCTGGTGGTACATATTTAAATGAAATGGCCATCGTGGAGACATCCTTAACAATGCTGTTCTGGTGCATAAACACCATGCCACTCTGAACAACCCTAAGGTTGGTTATGGTGATGGGCTGTTGTGCTTTTTGTTTGTCTTTGAAAAGCTGGCTTTTCGTGGTGTCATCCATCGAACTTATCATTATTCTTATCATCTGCGTTTAGTCTACTGCCGTCTGCAGAATGATGTCGAAGTAATATGCAAATCCTTGCTGGCTTTTTTGATTTCACTCTACTCTTTGTACATATCCAGTAAAGCCTGAAAAAAAAAATAATAAATGTTTATTTTATATTAAACCTACATGCATATTTTCACACAAATTTATCAAATCCATAAGTTCCGGAGAGAATTCAATAAAGACAAATTTTGCCTGTGAACTATAGGTTAAAACTGGGTCATCTGTAGGGGTTTTACAATAAGGACAATTCAACTTTCCTGGTTCAGTTTGAATAGCAGAGATAAAATGTGGCCAAGAATTGTGATCCAATTGACATTTTTGTAATGCAGATCTTGTCACATAGTTAACCAAAATAAAGCTTTTGAGAGCTACATTGTCATGGCAGGTCTTACAAAATGACTCAAAGATTCTCTGAGATGAAAATATATTCATTTCCTCTGAAGAAAGATCACCAAAGGTTCGTTCCTCGAAAATCTGACTGAAGCACGGTTTACAATCTCTTGACAAAAACGAGGGGCAATGTTGTTGTAAATATACCCAAAGCGGTTCCCTTAGTTCTTTCAACTATCTGTCATTTCCTTGTGACTCAATGTATCTTGCACAGGAGTTCTGTGAATTCATTTCGCGCAGTTAGTGTTGACAAATAGGGTAAAAATAGATGGGATGATATCTCAAGGACACTATTCAACGCACAAGAATAAGTTCCAGGGGTACTTAAAACTGAATTCATAAAGTGGCTTTTTCGTTTCCACATAACTGAACGTTTCTTTGTTTCAATTGAGGAAACATGTGACACTCACCCACGTAATGATCAAACAGCGTTTTCGTACCTCTTGATCACGTCGATTGTAGTAAGTATCACTCTGAAAATAATCAAAAGTCAAATCCCTAGTTACAACCAGTAATTTCTTTTCTTTGACTACTGTTTACTTTCAGTTGTTCCAAGTTGAGACTTGCCTCTGACAAATCCAGAAATTGCCGAGTCTTTCGGCTTTGTGCAATAAGCTTGATTTGCGGATGACAAATCGGAGTTAAACGAGTCTTTCGGTCAAAATGTTAAACTTACACCGTCTTCTGAGCATCGGTGAAATTATTTCTGTATTAACTTCTGTATAACACAAATGAGTCAAGACAGCTTTTAAGCACAAAACAGCACTCTCCGCGCTTTTCACCCGCTTTTCACACTTTGATGGTCGCGTGGACTCCGACTGAAGAAACTCTAAAACTCTGAGAATAATCCAACATCAAAGCAAACGAGTTAGAAGCTCAACTTTTTCATGTATTTGATATCTGGTTATACTTTAATTATGCTGCAAGTTCTTTGTTCTCACGTTAGCTGACTGGGCTGTGGACCCTCCGCCGCCTCGAGACTTCACACAACTGTTTCTCTTTTGACGGATTTTGATCACCTTTTAAACTCAAAACTACCTTTAATTGTTAGAAAGATGCTATACACACTTACCATTGGACTTGGAAACGCTTCTCGACGCTTTTCAGGGACGCTTAACTCGAAATCTCGCCGATCCAAAAAGTCCTCGCGCGCGTCTTTTTGCTGGCCGCCCATGACCATTTGCGGGAAAAACGTTGATACCTTGCGGCCGTGCAAGCGATCAAATCGAGATTTTTTTTGGTTATGATCAACCGAAAATACCCACATTCTCTCTTCTCCAGTCTTCCTCTATATTACGCGGGGAGTCCTAAGGTGCCTCCTCGGGTTTTTGGCTCTCTGGGGCCAAAAACCCTGCGGGGGCAATTAGCGTCGAGGCTGTAACTCGATACTCAGGTCTAAAGCAATCACTTTCTGCGGAATGTACACTGCAAACGAAGTTGCATTGTGCTTGGTGATGATAGTGCTTTGGGTCATTCAGCACAAACCCCATTGAAAATCCCTTGTTGTCGGAAATCCCTTGTAAAGACTTGGAGTGCAAAAGTCCCAACTGCGGTGGCCCACAACTGTCACGGCAAAACAAAAAGTCACGGCAAAACAAACTTTACTCACGGCAAAACAAAATTAACTCACGGCGAAACTAAATTAACTCACGGCAAAACAATTAACTCACGGCAAAACAAAATTAACTCACGGCAAGACGAAGAAAACGAGTTGCAGCGGTTGATCAGCGGTTGTTATTTGCATCTGAAATGGTATGTCGTGTAGCAGAAATTTTTTTTGGGATCACTTTCCCTTTCTGAAGGAGCTTAGAAACCAGGCTCAACTCAGTAGCCAAGCCTACTGAATTTGTGCCCAAGCCTTTTCTTGCTTGCGTGACCTTTTTTGTCACACTAGAGAATACAAGGAACTTCGGCGAGTAGTAAACACAAGCTCAAATTTTTAAAGCAGTAAAAAGGAAAACTTTTTGAGACTGAAAAGTAAGTAAGTAAGTTTTTTAGTGTTTTACAACTTAAATTTAGTGTTTCCTTTTGTAATTTTACAACGTACAGTAAATTGTCAAATCAATAACTCGAAAAGCTTACAGCTAAAATTTAACTCTTTATTAATAACCTTATACTTTCTTGATCTGATATCTCAATTAGCAATAACACCACCTAAAATTTGCTTTTGTGGTATATACTATATGTATACCTAACTTGTTGAAGTACGTTGTCATGAAATAATGCACTTAGCAACAATTAATCTGATTACACAAAACTGAGTCAATGTTTAAATTGTTCCCTGGACTGCCTGGACTGCCTGGACATCTGAGGCAACTGATAATGCATTTTGGGAGTGGTAGGGATGCTTACTTCATAGTGGCTATGGCTGTACCTGTCCTTTAATTTGCCCGTTGTTTGTAATAGATTTTCCTTGCATTGTCTGTTATTTTTTTTCAGGAAATTTTAGTCTGCAAGAAGAAAATTCTTTTACAGAAGGATCCTTTTCCTGTAACGTTTACAACTGTTGCTTACGTTTGCCATATTTCTGATATTTTAATCATAACAGAATTTTTCACAAAAATTATTTGACATTGAATTCTTATACAAATACTGCAAGGTCAAGCCTGCCCACCAACCCATCAAGGTGGTGTTGAAAACTGCAGTAAGGTCTATTGAATATAGTTAAAGTACTGAATTTCACTCCATGACTTACTACTACAGAATATGGGGCTTTTTATGATTAGGTACCAAACAAAAAAAATGCTTTCTTGGCTCATTTGCATCAAGCCACCTAATATAATTCACAAAGATTATTTCACATTGGATTCTCATACAAATACTGCGAGGTCATGCCTACCCACCAACCCATTAAGGTGGTGTTGAAAACTACAGTAAGATCTATTGAATATAGATAGAGTACTGAATTTCACTTTATGACTTACAATTACAGAATATGGGGCTTTTTTATGACTAGGTACAAAACAAAACAAAAAAAAAAGCTTTCTTGGCTCATTTGGATCAAGCCACCTAATATAATGCAATCAATGTCTTGTTTTCTGTATCGTGAGTCATTGCTCAGTTGGAATTGATATTTAAATCTTAATTATAATCATTTAAATCCAACTGAATGTATTTCTTTCATTACTTTTCTACTGACTGCCAAACCAGCAAGCCTTGAGGCTTTGAACTGTGAGGACTTTAAAAAAGGCCCTATATTGTTTACATGTAGCCGCTTTGGGGGAGGGGAGTGGTAAAGTTTCAAATTTGGTTAAGAGTATGTAACACAATAATAATGATGATAATAATGTTAATAATAATAATAATAATAATAATAATTCATTTTTTCCATCCTTTGTTGCAAACGCATCTGACCCAGAGCCATTATTGGAACATACCAGAATAGCCTTTTTATTAATGGAAGGCCTCAGTGATGCACAGATATGATATGAAAATAATTTTCTCTTGTGTGAGGCATCAGTCAATTTAGGAATTACCAAGTGTAAAATTTCAAGTCAATATGGTCCAGAAACTACTCATTTTTGTAGAGGGTGGAGCAGGGAGGGGTGGAGGGGTCGAAATTATTAGGTTTGCGTACCGTTTTCACTCTTTGCACCCTAAGCACTCAGTCACGCACACTTCAGATGGATGCTCAACACAACAGCGTCAAAAAAAAATTAAGCAAATAACTAAGACGTGCAAAGCTTCCACGGTGAATATAAATTTACCGCTATAAACAGTGAAAAGGCCTTACAGATTTTACACGTAGCTTCTTTGAAGGTACAACTTCCTATGACGTTCTAACAAGATTATCAAGTTGTCAAATACGTATTTTCATATGATTGATACCAATTGCTTTATTAAGTCGAAATAAGCTTAATGTCAAGAATAAATAAGAATTTTGTGGTCCGTTAAAAAAAGTACTTGGTTCAATTACGTAGTTCACCGAAAGGTTAATTTTGTTTGCCTGCTAGGATTTCTTTTAACATTGAATACATTTTCAAGACCTGTACTCAACGAGGTGCACTTCTTGCGATTGTTCTGCAATCTAGCGAGTCCTTCGGAAAAACGTCACCGAGAGCAGAGCTAAGACACTATTCAGAAGCAAGTATTTTCTAGGTTTGAAATTCCCTTCGGTTCCATTTGACCGTGAGTAGAGTTTAGAATTCACGAAGAAAGCGTATTTTAGCCAAAGGCAGAAGATTCGTATTTGAACGGAGAGCAGCGAGTGTTTCGAGAAGAACATTGCTCGCGTGACATTTGCGTTACGTTTAAAAGTTTATTTAGTTTAATATTTCACTTTTTCTTTCCACTTATTGATCACCTTGATTGACACTGAAATATGAGTAAGTTGATGGTTTTTAGTTAGATTTTACACGTGTCGTGTCGGAGGCATGAATCAGGATAGCTGTCCCGTTTTTGATGATTATACAGTTTAGTTTAACTCTGGAATCCCGTCACGAAGTAAGTCAGTTGTTTTGGTTTCCTTAGGCTTTGTTACATTCAATTATTCGCGTTGATTTCTGTTAGTGTAATTTCTGTAAGACCGCATGTAAATAGCGGTTAAATCTGTTCGTGTTTTTTAAGATTATATCATGTGCTTAGGTCTCTTATTTTTGGTTAGATTCTGTTGTTTAGGAATCTTATTTATTTTATTGTTTCAGATCGAATAAAATTCTTGTAAAATTTATACGATTCGGGATTCTTTAGAGCCACGCACGTAATTTGGTTTTCATCCGACGGTCCAGCGAGATAAGGTAATATTCTTTCACGCGAAAATAAAAAAAAAATAGGGTTAATAGATAACTTCCCATTTGTTTTTTCTCGCGCAAGTAACAAAAATGTTCCCTTCCCTGTCCCCATCCAATCGCACTTCAACCAGTCGGGGGAGGTGAGTATAGAATTGTTAACAAATCATCAGAAGGCTTGGTTACCTAATTGAGCCTGGTGTCTAAGCTCCTTCAGAAAGTGATCCCAAAAAAAATTTCTGCTGTCGTGTAACAGTAAACAAACCAAATGGCGACCTTTGTTGCTAAGAATAGTGGTGGGGTGAAAAAGAAACCGATGATAATCTTAAAAGAGTTTATATTTTTTCGTTTTAGTTTCAACAAGCGGCGCCAGCGACTGGCAGGCGTGCGAGTATTCACAATGAAATAAGAGAACAACCGTTTTTCGTAAAATTGTAATTTACAGTCCTTGAAAACAATCCGAAGATTCATTAAAATTATTTCTTACTCCGAAGCGCTCAGAGTTTACAGGTGTTCAAAAGCTTTTTTCTGTTATGGCGTGAGGTTGGGGACAAAATCGATCACTACATTTCGTATCGTGTGTTTTTTCTGTGTGAAGCAACAGAAGGTGCCGGCGACTGACGAAATTACAGGTTAACACGAAAATCAAATAACACCTAAACAAACAATTTTGGCTACCGATTTTCAGTGAATTTCAGACAATTTGAAGATTCAAAATAAATATTACGTACTAAAATGCGAAAGTTATACACCACAAAATTGATAAATAGGCCTGAAATGAAATTCTATCTTGTTCTCGATTATGCGTTGCCTAGCGCGTGACCAAATCTACCCAGGCGGAAATCCAAAATGACGGTGGCAGTCTGGGCTTTGTTATATCACTCAAATCTCGTTCCCGTTTGTCTCATTTGATATAGAGGGAATAATTAATGTTTTCATTAAGACAGTATTGCTTTGATTTTCCAATATTTACAATGATAGACAGTAAATTTCGCTTTTCACCCACATTTACTTCCAACCTTTTCTTTTGAACCAGAAACAAAAATGATATATGTTTAAAACACATGACATCATCCACCCTTGTCAAAGGTAATTGCATGATTATTTCAATTGTAATGCCTTCTTATCCCAAAATTACTTTGTTTCTTTGCTACATTAGCCAACACTGAACTGCTGCTCGTACTCTAAATATGACAATCAACCACAAAATTCCCTAAACCAGATAACATTAAACATAATCCAAAAACTCATATAAGTCATCTGTCAATTCACGAGTTTGCTCACAGAGCTCTTTGATTCGAGCTCACGATGTTTTCCTCCACGTGTGGTTTGGTAGTAGATGAAGATGCAAACTATTGTAAAAGCTGGGGTAAAGGTACGTTTCTTAATTAAAAGTGTTCGTATCTGCATTTCTTTTAGTTCCAAATGACGATAGGCGTGAGAAGACACTGCTACAAATTAGCTGATTGGCACGTGTCTGGAATAAGATTGTGCATGCAGCCTGTGTGTAAGAAGAAAACGTTCATAATGTTTCAACAGGTGGAAAAAAAAACAATGAAGCAAAATAATGTAGCTTACACCTCAGAGGAAACTTTACTTTAAACAGTGTTATTTCCTTAAGTCTGTTTAACATCAATAAAACTCAAGATAAATGATTTGGAAATAATCAGGAATATTTTGGCCTTTGACCTCGTGCTCTCTGACTGTTTGCAGGCGTACAGTATTTTTCCACATTATGAATGTTTTCATTTTACACACAGGCTACATGCACAATCTTATTCCAGAAACATGCTAATCAGCTAATTTGTAGCAGTGTCTTATCACGCTCATCGTTATTTGGAACTAAAAGAAATGCAAATACGAACTCTTTAAATTAAGAAACGTACCTCTACCACAGCTTTTACAAAAGTTTGCATCTTCATTTGCTACCGAACCACACGCGGTGCAAGACACCGTTAGCTCGAAAAATGGCAGTCTTTCGAGCGAGCAGTGAGTTACTGTTACTGTTACACGACCTACCATTTCAGATTGAAATAACAACCGCTGACCAAGTCGTTTTCTTTGTTTTGCCGTGACTTTTTGTTTTGCCGTGACAGTTGTGGGCCACCGTAGAAGATAAAATTATAGAAACGAAGGAACTATCGCTAACATTGCAACAACGACCGTAACATGGAAGTATCAACTGATAATCGGCAATTACATTGATCGTAAGGAAGGCTGGAAAAATGATTAATAAGCTACGAGGTATTTAACTCAGACGATACCCTTATGTTAAATAACCTTATATTGGGGATGTGGACATAATCAAGCACGATTCCGAGCATACAAAAAAAAAAAACTAACCAACCGATTTAGTAACGATATAGGCCATTTGATAGGTGATAAAGTGAGACTTAACTGAAACGAATAACAATAGAAAAAGCCTGAGAACTAAGCCTGAAAACAAGGAATCCATTAATTACTTGGTTTGCACACGCACTGAATTTGACTTCACCCCCAACTCCTTGAGACGCCCGGCCGAAAGAGTCTTCTTCCTCAGTACCTTGGCGTATCTCTGAAGAGTAGCAAAAAATCGATGACTACCGCCCCAAACCAGTCTCCTTCAAGAGTAAGAAGGTCATCTCCTAAGTACCTCATTTTCAGAACGAGGGTCTAAATATTTTATTGCTTCATCTCTGAATGTACACTCGATTGCAAAAACGTTGACACCTTGAAAGCATAAACCGTGAACGATGAGACCCGACGGATTTGTGGGTAGTGTTTAAACAATAACCTCATTTCCATCATGATAATCAATAATTTACTATTCTTATTCTTTGCAATAAAAAATACATTGCTGGAAAAAAAAGGATGCCCAAAGCATACTCGGACGATTTACGTTTAAGAGCTGTATGGCTTCATGTGTTCCTTGGTTATAACATTGAGGATACATCCGGTATGCTGGCAATGTCACCAAGCTCGGTAAAGAGATTCAAAAAAATTTGTGCGCACGGGTGAAGTTGTGGCCAAGAAAACTGGAAGACCTTTGGATCTGGTTGGAATGCACCCGCGTGAGGAGCTCGTGATGATGGAAGCTATGCTAGAGCACCCAGAGAAGACACTGACTGAGATTGTAAGAGAAATTATGACTGTATTCGGAAACCGTTTTCAAGTGTCGACGGTCTGCCGATACTTTCAAAGAAACGGCGTTACAAGAAAACGGGTAAGCAGTTATCGGCAGGATTATTATAGACCTTTTAACGTGGGGATATTTGTTGACTCAGAAGAATAAATAGCTTTGTTTTTGCACAACAAGCCTCGGCCAGACGCGAATTTAGAGAGAGGTTTGCTTTGCAAAAACAAAGCTTTTTATTCCCATGAGACTCGACATGGCCGCCAAGTGACAAAGGCCAATTAACTAGGATAGGATTGACAGGGAAAAAGTGCCTCTGCTCGTGCTTTTTTCATATTTCTTCACGCGCCAGTCTTTGCCAATCAACAACGTCAAAATGATCAAAACACGAAGACATGACAGTTTCCTACCTATGAACTTTAAACTCGAGTGAAACCTCAGTAACAAGAAACAAATTATGCGTAATGGAAAAATATTAAAATAAAAAGTAATTTAAAAGAAGGAGGGTTGTTTTTTTTTAAGTGGCGCTTTTGTCTCTGTTGTTGCCGTGGTGGTAACTGAACTGCCCATTATTCCAATCAATTTTGTCACCATACTGTCCGAAAATGAAGTCTGATCAGTGAGGGCACATTTTATCCTCCACCTTCAACTGAACACCAAGTTTAAGCTAAAGTCCCCCCAACCTAACACTGGTGTAACTATTTTTTCCAGCTTAAGAAAGTTGCCCGACAACAAAGCGAATTGGCGAACATCAATTTTCGTGCGGATACTTGTCTCCTACATGCAGAGATGTTTGTCTTTCTTGATGAAAGTGGATTTGTAAGTATAACTCAAGGAAACCTTATTTTCACTTGTCTTTACACCCCTTTGTTTTTGAAGATTAGAGGTATGTTTTATTCTTTTTAAGGATCGTCGACTTACAAGGGGATTTGGCTACAGTTTCCGAGGTTATAGTACCAAAGTGAAAAGGAAGCATACAAATTGGCATCCACGAATTACAGCCATCCCAATTGTATGCACTGAAGGCTTGCTTGAAATTGGTATTCATAGAGGAGCAACAAATGGAGATGTCTTTCTTCAGTTTGTTAATGAGAAGCTTGTCCCGAACCTTCTGCCTTTGAACGGTGCGAATCTTCGCTCCGTAGTTATAATGGGTATGACATAAATCGTTTAAAGATTTTTTAGACCATATTATAGATTTAAGACAATTTTTAATTTGTCATTGTTGTTCTCAGATAATGCAGCCATACATCATTCACAACGTGTTGTTGATGCAATAAACGCTTCCGGTGCACTCCTTATTTTTCTTCCACCTTACAGTCCGAATCTGATGCCTTGTGAAGGAGTGATCGCACTGGCAAAGAGCTGGATACGAGAAAACGACCTGGTTTGGGAGCAGTGTGATGAACCAGAGAACATGGTTTTTGAAGCCTTTATGCAAATAGCTGATGAAGACATTGCAAACTACATTCGTCATTCTGAATACCTTTAATTACATGTACATCTATGAAAGGTGGTTTTACAAGAAATAACAGAAGAGTACGGCACGACACGCTGCCCATTATTATCACATTAATTTTTTTTAAATTTTATTTTCTACACGGCTTCACAAGTTTCCTGTATTCGCGTTTCCCTTTATTCGAAATAATCAATCAGAATAATTTAGTCGATTTTATTTAGCTCATTAACTAATTTTGCGCGTTCTTTGTCGAATTGATCTCTTGTAATGATTTCTTTATCAAACAGATCCTTCAGTTGTGCAATCTGGTTATAGATCATACTTCGTAAACGTAGCTGTGGACAATGAAGAAAAATAAATTACATCAGTAAGGAGTGCAATTTTCTCTTGTTAAGTAGAGGTGACGAGTGTGCTTTCAAAATTTATGGATCTCGAGCACGCCGGTTTCAGAGTTTTGTTGTTGCAATTAATGGCAGCAATTGCAACGACAAAAAATCACTCTCCAGGATTGACTCGCGCTCTTTGTTCGCAAGGTGGAGTATCAAGTGAGAGAGTTACCTTTTCCTCAGCACCCGAAATTGAGTTTAATGTTGTTTCTTTCGTTGAAGACTGAGCTGAAGAAGATGAAGGTAGGTCAACCATTGAACAGCTGGCTTTATTCCTCCCGGTAAAGAAGGAAACCTGAGGCATTTCATCATCGCTGTGATGAGTTTTATTTACCTGTAGTAATAATAAAAAAAAAACAGTCAAGGCATACAATTGTATTTTTCGTCCATGAACAATGACGGACAAAGTTTGTAATTTAAAATAACAAATGTACGCACATGCTTTTAAAATATGTAGTTTTTGAAGAGCCAAATTCAAATATTGGATTAATTTTTTCTATTTTACCAAAAGAAATTTTTTTTATGTCCAAGCTTACCAACATTTTTGCCCAACATTTCAGTTTAAAGTCCGCTAATGTTCCTCCGTGTTTTTCTCGCAGTCGCGCGAGTCTGTTTTCGTAGGAGTCATGGTCGTCCTCTTCCATACTGTCACCGCTGTCGATAGCGTCGTCTGAATGAAAAAAAAAAAGGAGGACATTGTTTCCATTAAACATTGAGTAATTTTGTAACAAGCGGGAAAGACAGGCAATATGGTTTTCCATTCATACCTGAACTTCTCTTCCTCTTTGCTTTACCGGCCTCCCTTCTTTCTATCTCGCCCTGTTTTCGTTTGAAGGAACTGTGTGGATCCACCCATAGGGTGATCCATCCATTCTTAACACTTCTGTAGGCGTCGTCCAACTGTTTTTCTGTTTTGATGTCACATTTTCGGCGCCCGTCACTCATGTAGCCGATAGTTAGCGACGTGCAATTAGAAGCGGGACTTAATTCTTCTGAATAATTTTCAAGTAAATATTGCTTTAGTTCTTTGACGGATGTGAACTTAGGCAAATATCGGATTGAATATCGCTCAAATTGGCCCTTGTTGGCCAGCTTAGACACTTTTAGGAAAGCTTGAACCGTTTCCATCACTGACCACGTGCAACTAATTTTGGTTATCAACCGTGGCACGAGAATAGAATATTATGCAAATAAATTTAGTACACTTATACCCATAAAGCCATTGGGTCTCATCGTTCACAGTTTATGCTCTCAAGGTGTCAACGTTTTTGCAATCGAGTGTATATTCATCAGTTTTGCAGCTCAAGATAGAATAATGAAGTCAGACGAGTACGTTAAAATTTTAGTTTGGCCACCCTTTTTAGTTACTTACATTCCCATCTTTGTCTATTGGGTGGTTATGCGGTTTTACAGAATTCCACTGGATGGTATCAGTCGCTGGGTTGCCACAAATGTATTTTCCGATATATTCAAGGAGAAGAAGAAGAAGACTTGTTGTCCTCGAGAAGCGAGGTGGCTGTTAAAAGACATTGATCTGACAGCGGCGAAGAGATTATTATTCAAGGTCCTAATCAGATTTTTTGTGCTGTTTTATTTGATGTTTGGCGCTGCGCTGGCAATTTTTTGGCAGCTCCTCTTGCGGGATGAAAGCTACGACTGCGATGAAGATGACCTCTCGAAAGACTGCTTCGAACGCAAATGGACTTCGGAGCCGCAAGACCCCTTAAACTGTAGCAGTGCTGCCGTTCAAAATTTGATTCAAAATGGAACCATACAGGTCATCTGCTACAAAATCGTCTTCAATTTTGGATTGGCCAGTGGTGTAAGTTACGGCTCATTCAGTCTCTCTATGTTCGTCATTAAGGTAGGTGCAAGTGCACTCTTGAGGATTGAGACAACAAAGATGCTACGATGGGCGCAAGCTTTGGTTGGATTACTGGTTCTCAGTGTTGTCACATCGCTCATAGTTGTTGACGCAGTCATTCCTTCGGCAGCCATCTTTTTTTCGGGTCACCCAAGTACTTTCGTTCAGTTAGCAACAACAGCAATAATTTCAGTAGTCTTCCTGTTCTATATTCCCTGGCGGGAGCTCATTGACTTAAAAACCCAGAGAGATAACCCGCAGCGTTCTCTCTTAGAAAACTGTGCTGTGGCATCTGTATAGACACCACTCAAGTAGAGACTTCAAATTCTAGAAATGTTTCGAGTAATTACCTGAACCAGTTGATAAACAATATGCTTTAGTTACTGACTATGACTTGTTTATTTCCTACTATGGGTGCGGACACTGATAGAAATAGCCATATGATGACTGTTCTTGCGATGGGTTTTTGTGGTGAGAGTTTTACTCTTGCCAGACAGCTGGTTTTTTCGAGAACGGCAAAATTTAACTTATATCTGTTTACCATTCATGGGTCAACCACAATGGCAGTCTAACTAGGGACTAGTTAATAAACTATTCAAGGAAGTTATACAGAGCGAACAGAACAAGCTCTATGACCTTTCTTCTGCTCGTAACACACTAACCTTGATCCTAAGAAACATATGGAAGTTTAGGCTCGTCTTCAATGCCAGTCTAAATAGGGATTAGCTGACAAATTATTTAAGAAAGTTATTAAGCGCAAAAAGAACAAGCTCCGTGACCTTTTTCTGCTCGTAACACATGTTCCTTGATCCTAAGAAACTTACGGAAGTTTAGGCCCATCTTCAAGACGAACAGATTTCGTAACGGTCTTGCCGTGTTACTTTTAATGCCCTTAAGGACTGATCGATTTTATTTGACTTTTATGTTTCTTCGACATATTTAATTTACTAGCATAACACAGTTAAATATATGTTTATACTAACTTGTTTTAAACTACTGGTAGTCCTTTATAATGACCTTTTTGTAATAATCGTATAAATCATTTTCTGGTCGCAAAGCGGCTATCAATAAACTATCTATTTATCTCTCTATCGAGTCATTGCATCATAATTCCTATGCGTTATTCCCTGGAGAGAACTCATGGCGTTAAACTCGGCAAGGGAACATCTAAATATTACGCCAATAAATTACTCGCTGTGAAAATCTGCTCCAAAATCTGCAGACGCATATCTGAGGTTTAAATCTAAGGGAATGTATAAAATAGGCAAATGAAAAAGTTGTTTAGACAGCACCTCCTATAACTTCACGCATTTATTTATCATAGTTTAGTATTAGAGCATCGACATTTCTGGCCATGAGGTTTCTTGTTTTCCCACTCTAAGAACATTGTCTCATAACTAGAAATAGTGCTGCGAGAAAATTAAACGTTTAGGAAATTAAGAAGACAATCGTCCCGAAATTGTTCATCTCCTTGCAAGAAAGCTTAATGAAGCGCGTAATGCAGATTATTTAGATCAATTTTTACCTACGTTTTCCGAGTTACCTGGAAATGGTATGCATGAAATTAAAACAGTGATGAAAATTGTCAACTTGTGCCCTTGAATGTCAAAAACTATAATAGTTGCGTCAACACCATGCCCATCGATGCAAAGTCTTGCTTTGACGGGAGGACTTGTTATTTTAAGGGCACAACTATTCAATTTATCATTTCTCTTGCATCATACTCCAATGCAGGATCACTATCTGTTGTTACATTGTTTGATGTAGCTTGTTGATGTGTATCATTATCGTCTGCATCATTTTATAAAGTTGTGAGGTTGCTATCAATATTGTTCATATCAACTAGTATATCTTGTTACAATGGATTATGTACTTTGAGCCAGTTAAGAACTTGCTATATTAACCCTGGTCGTGATGCTTGAAAATAAACATGTCCTCTAGATTGTAACTTTCTTTTAAGCTTAAGTATTATTATACAAGATCTATCAGATGGATGAGGAAGTTGATTACATGTCTGATCACATTCTACAGGTACATTGCATATTGCACCCTTAATGTTTCTCTGTTTTCCTTTATGCATGACCACAATCTTCTCAAGTACTATTCGTTGAGCTATTCATATTTGTTCTAGTTTTTTCTAACGAGGATAGTTTTGTGGGTATTTCATCCACATACATATTGTTCACTGCAGCCTGACATGGTAATTTTCCTTTTATGACCTTTGAGTGACATGTGTTGCGTATATACTGTTTTCCATCAAACGACTGTTGAATATTGAAATATGTTTGGCAAGGGTATTTCTTGTTTATGCACGTTATTACTGATTTCTTATAAAGTATTCGATTACAGACAGTACATATAAAATAAGGGCCTTCTCTTATTTTCCTCATAAACTGGTCAATACACAATTCAACCGATCTGGCTTTCACTAATTTCTCACTGGGTTGGGAAGGTAATTCTTTCTTCTTTTTAGCATCCATAGTTGAATATTTTCTTTTGATGTCTTCTAGAAACCTTTTTTTGACAACAGGTTCCATGCTGTAATACATATGTCTTTTTCTGTGTTTTCTCATGATGTGTTTCCTTTCAGTTTCAGTAATTTTACATGAAAAGAAGATAAATTGTATATCATATTCCATAGTCTGACATTCCTGTTTATTTGCATAATATTATTAATTTCCGCCACTAGATTATCCACAAAGAGTAAATACTTACAGAAAACCTCTGTCCAGAACCACAGGCCTCTCTACCAAAAGAGTACTTTGTTTAAGTTTGATACTTTAGGTAGCTTGCTTTATTTGCAAAACAATTAACATTGAAGACATCAGTACATACACAATTATTAATAATCATGATGTTATCTCACTCATCGATCTGTATGGCCTTGTACAAATATATGAAACATGTTTCTCCATTATTTTGTTCATGAGATGCTCAAGTTAAGATAAAATCTCCAATGATTATTGTTAGGACCACTGCTTTGCCAAGCAACTGGGCTAGAACAGATTGAATAACTGGCAATACAAAAAACAATACTGAATACACTTATTGGCAACAGGTTCCATGCTGTCATACATAGGTTTTTTCTGTGTTTTTGACGCGTTTCCTTTCAATTTCAGTAATTTCACATGAAGAGCAAATAAATTGTATATCATATTCCATAGTCTGACATTCCTGTTTATTTTGAATAATATTATTAATTTCCTCTACTTGATTATCCACACCACGAATGTGTATTGTCTGTTTCATTGTAGGTGAATGACTGTCTTCATATGTCAGAAGAGAAAACAATTGCTTTACTTTTGTATTTTTTTGATATTAAATACAAGCTATACAGTAACTTGAAATCCACATAAAAAAGCCTGTTTTCCCAGTGTGGTTCCTTAAAATCAAGGTCTCTAAAGATATTCTGTTTTCAGTTAAATTACTTAATTATATGAGACTTACTTCATTAACGTGTAAATTTATGTTAGTGCCAAAAATTGTAACACTGTCAGGCAGGGTAACAGATGTTAAGCAGTGCTTACTCTGCATTGTATTGTTAAGCTGAGATCCATTTTCAATAATTGCATCTAAATTATTTGAGTTCCAGTAACTACAAGGTGAAACGATTGAGTAAGGTAGAATAAAGAACTACTGCAAAACAGTGATCTTTGTAACACTTGTGTTGACCTGATATCTCTTTAATACTTCTTTTACATTGTTGCTTATTGCCACATCATATTTTGTAATTTGTAAAACTTTTAGTTCATACAGATCAGTTGCTCCATATAAACTTTGAAAGTGATGCACTAAGTTATCTGTAGATGATATATCTAATAGACCACATGTCCCTCGAGTGTGACTTTTACCATAAACATCTTTAGCATGTGAGTCAAACACTTTAAAATGGCCATTATCAGCACAGTAACTAATACTCACAGCAATTGAATTGTAGACATATCTCATCGAAGATTTAACGTTTCTTGTTCTAAAAATTGGTTTCCTTCTCATTTTTTGTACAAACCTGATTTTTGTTTTATATGTACTTTTTTTTCATGTTGCATTATTTTTAATAAGATCATGGACTTTCGATGACTTTGGTACGTTTTTACTTAAACGGCTCCATACATAACTCTGCAGTTTTCTAATTTTCTGAGAGAGACGTTCTAACATCCTAACTTGTATTCTGCTTAGTTCACGATCACTTTTATAGCCATATTGGCATTCGCACCCAACACGAGTGCGATTATAATATACAAACTTTGTATAACGAGATCTGAAT